GGTTCAGCACTTCTCGGAGGTTGATAAAGGTGTTCGATTTTTCTCTTGCTTTGTTGGTCAGGAAAAAGTTTTTGCTCAGATGAATATTTGTCTGTCCAGAAAACTTATGAAAAGCAAAGAAAGACGAAAAAAAACCCACAGTTTGCATGTATTTGCATTTACAAATTAAAAATACAATAGATATGACAATTAGATAGTTTTGGAGGAAAAAAAAAAAAAGAGAGAAAAAAAAAAAAAGACAAAAGACATCCATTCAACAGAACTGAAAGAGAGAAGAGAAAGGGGGTGGGTGCATCCCACCACAGTACTCCTGAGCTGCGGCTGCAAAAATATTTTGCAGATCATCTCAATAAATCATTCGGGTCATGTTTTGAGTTATGTTTTGCAGATGATGATGGGTATATGAAGACATTTGGCAAATTCTTCCACCAACTATTTTTCTTCAAAGTGAGATGGCTTACAACTCATGTCCCTCTGGTCTCCACAGCTGGTGCCACCAGGAGACCACAGCTCAGCTCTGCCTCTGAGGTCAGGCTGCCTTGAAGCAGAGAGTCCGCTTATGGAGGGCTCCAAGAATAAAACAAATGTTATGCACTATAAAAACATATTTGGAGTGTAACATCTTCCAGAACAAACTCTTCTGCGCAGGGTTTTACAGGTGGCTATCTCAGCTCTAGAAGCAAACATCAGAACTGCACAGTTCAGAAACCTCCCCCTTCCCGTCCTCCTGGATTTTTAAGAATGCAAAACTTGTCAGATCCACTGCCATGGTGGGAGATAAAATTCCACCTTTTGGGGAAAAGCAAAGTCACAGGACCGTAGGTAGAGTCTCTTTCTTATGTAAATCAGACTTTTGGACTACTAGGCTGAGAGCTGAGCAGCTGACAGAGTACTGCTAAGGCATTCAAAAGGTACGTAAGAAATTTAACTAACTAGTACCATCATCTCCTTTCCTGATGAAACGGGGTTTTATGTAACAGCAGCTGGTTTGAGCACAGCCTCGGGAGCTGCGAGGTGCCCCGGCTGCTTTGCACGCACCCTCTCAGGTACCGCAAGCCTCGTAATGAGGGTACTCGGGCATTTTGCTCAGCCTCACTTGTTCCTCTGAGGTGCAACAGCTCAGAGGCGTCTGCAGCCCTGCCTCATATTGCACAGGCATTGCTGCACCGCACAGCCCTCTCTGACCCCCAGGGCTGGCTATCGGCTACCTGCAGGTAGAAACAGAGAGAAACCAATAAAGAGGGTGCTTAGGGAAGTGAAAATAAACACCTCCTTGGAAGGCTAGTTGTGTGTCAAACGTGAACTCTGTGCAAAGCTGAGAAAAGCAGCTGCGCTCCGGGGGAGCGGGTATGCATCTGGGCTGGGAGAAGATCCGTGGAAGAGCAGCTCTGGTGAGTTTCTGCTGTACAGAGAGCTCTTATCCCAACCCAAGGCACTCTAAAAATGCAACATGAGCTCAACGCCCCTTCCAGAATAAATGGCCTCTAATTTCAGACTCTGCGCAGTCAGTATTGTCCTGCAGTGAAGGAGGTTCCTCTGAACCGTTTCTTCCCACCAGCCATTCAGCCCCAGCGCTGCACCTTGACCACCAATGCATGCTACATACCTCAGGGGGCACCTGCAACGAGAAAAGGAAAGAGTTATTTGCTTGTTGAACGGCAGCTCCAGGGCTACTTCTTTTCACCGCTGGTTAGAGGGTCCATCTACAGTCTGGAGAAAAATAAATAAATAAACAAAGAGTCAGCTGAAGGGGAAAAGTGAGCGCTGAGCCCAGGTCACCCACGGGTGACTGCTGGCCCAGGTCCCAACCCCACCACGGAGGCAGGGACGGCTCACCCCGGGCAGCGCAGGCACAGCCAGGCTGGTAAACTGACCCTCTACCCTGCAGCCCACCATGATATGTTTGGTAGACTGAGTTTCTCTACTATTTCTTCCCATGTTCTCTTTCACCATCCTGCTCCTCTGACTTCTCCACCCTCAGGTGAGGAGGCAGGGGCTGAGCAAGGCAATGATGCAGTTTTCCGTTTCCTTACAGGTTCAGGGGACCTAGCTTTGCTTTAAACCTCATTTACCTACAAGGACCAGATTCTTTGACAAGCTTTTCCAAAGCTGGGATATCGAGAAAGCAAGCAGTCACACACATTGCCTACAGTTACAGAGCAATGCACAGGGAAGACCATTAGTCCTATTTTCACTGCCAGTTAAGCACTGTTGCTTTGCAGCTCTGAACAAAATGTCCTGCCTAAGGAGTTACCACAAAGTCTCTGACCCTTCATTCCGCAGCATGAGATTTACAGGTGTTTTGGCTGGTTCTGCTGTGGGATTCACACTCCCCAAGCTAGCGCAGATGTCCCAGCTAGGGTTACATCCCTACCACGGCTGCTCTCATTCTGCTGCTTTTCATCACAGTCCGACAAGCGAAAGGGAGACGAGATTTCTGCACTTTTCATTTTATACAGTTTTTCTGCCCCTCTATTCAGACGCACAGAATATTATACGTGGGAAGGGGTCTCTGTATATCATCTGGTCCAACCCCCTGCTCAAAGCAAGGCCAGTATCAGTTAATGACATTGCTCAGGACCTTGCCCAGCCTAGGTGTGAATATCTCCAGGAACGCAGATTCCCTCATCTCTCTGGGTATCTGTCCCTGTGCTTGACTGCTGTTTTTGTGGAGCATAATTTTCTAAACATCTAAGTGGAATTTTCCTTGCTGCAGCTTGTGTCCGACTCAACTCGGCTGAGTTTTGACAGAAAGCCCAGTCCAAGAACTGCACTACCTCGTTTATAGAGTGAGTTTTCCTTTTCTTGCCATGCACCTGTACTGCCTTACTTGCCTCATAAATCGCAAAGCCGATGGTGTGCATGTCCTCTCCCATCTTCCTCTGCTTCCGCCGGTGCTTCTGAATGAGGCCAACGAGGAAAGTGCAGCCCCTCTCAGGATCATCCGGATCCTCATCTTCCTCCTCCAGCTTGATTAAATACTGCGGATTTGTCCAGAAAGTGTCTGGGAAGTGGATTTATGCAAAATGCTCAGAGGCTTCTTTGAAAGCAACTGTGCTGATATATACGTGTCAGCTAGGACAGAGGCGACTCTGACTTCCAAAATCAGCTGTGAGAAGGAAAAACTAACACTCCCCCCCAAAGCTTTTACAACCACAACTAGACCCTCACCAGGAAGCCACACTTCCCAAACACTTGCACTTTTTGGACATCAGTCCTGGATATCCCAGGTACATCCTCCTCCTCCACAGGCCACCCCAAACCAGCTCCTAGAAGAAGCGCCTAGAGAAAGTACAAGTGGAAGAGCATAAAAGGTTTCTCCATCACAGTGGTAAGCATGCGCTCTTACTTGGGTAATTCCTGCAGCCCCCCGCCGTGGCTCCTCGCCTCCAGTTCCCATCCAGCTTCAGCAGGCTCCACTTCTTGTACCTGTCACTTGCCAGGGTGTCTGGAGTGAGGTTGCAGATCTCCAGGCGGGAGTAATGTCTCAAGAAATCGTTGAACGCCATCCTGTGGGAAGCAACGCCACAGGCAATGTCTCCTTAGGACGAAGAGGTTTTCTACGCAACAACCTTGTTATCCTCCCTCTCTTCCACTGTGATTTAGCATTAGGATTTGGGGTGAGTTTGCTCACTCATTTTGGAGAACGTACTGGGAGCGGTTACTTTGTGTGAAAAGAGCAGAGGAGAAGACATTCTCTTCAGCCTGAATGGAAACCCAGTGCTACTTACCAAAATTCCCCATCTTCATGCCTCCTGGTCAGCCGCTCCCGCACCTCAGGGTCAACGCCATTCCAGTTTGGGCAGCTGAAAGACAACCCCACATCAGCTATGGTGTACCGTAAAGGTTAAATCGTAACGTAGCTGGCTTGGCACAACAATTTCACTTTCTTACACCTCCGCGTGATTGCAATAATCCACTCACAATAATCCTGCAATAACCCACAGCAGCTCCAGGGCTCTCAAACCACAGCAGAATTAAAATACAGGGACCTGGGATATTCAACACCTCATTTCTTAAATATCCAAGGTAAGGATCAGAAACAGTTTTATTTGCAGAACGTGCTAATGCCTTGACTTAGACAGAGCTTTATTTTAGAAAAAGGAAGACCTAGAACAAATACTGCCCAGCCACAGAAGTAAACAAACTCTGGCTTTCATTGCTAACAAGAGAAAAGGATTTTTAAAGCCCTTTTAGAAAGAAAGTTGTCAATAGCTCACCACTGAACCTGGGCTGTTAAAGAAGCAGAAACTACAGAGAGGCTTGTAGGAACCACCAACCAAATGACTGCAGCTTACACCAAGGCAGGTGTTTGCATGAAGGGCACTGCATGCTGTCACACCTGTGTGGGAGATGACAGTGCTAGGATGCTTCTTTTAAACAGCTCAGAGCGAACATCGCATTCAGATGTCACTTAGAAAAGAATTTGAGGCAGGGAGAAGACAGGCGACAGCAAAAACATGGCCATACCCCTGCAGTAAAAGCCTATGGGCGATGCACAAGCCGTTGACTCACTTGTCGTTCCATTTTCCGGTCCACTCCACTTCGCCCCAGGGATTTCGGATTCTGATCAGCTTCTGCACCGTTCCTCGGAAGTTCACCTGATGGGATCAGAAGTGTATGGAGAGTTACCCAGGGACTCAGCGCTGCGCTCCCCTTCACCTTTTCTAAGGGGATTAAAGGACATGACAAAGTATCTCAGTGCTACACAAACACATGCTCATGTGGTCCAAAACCCCTGAAGTCAAACTGATTTTGAATGAGTTCCACACAGCCAAGTTTGTCCAGAGAAGGTTTATAGCATGCACAAATCAAAGCTCACAATAACCAAAATGTCTTTTTTGTGTCGCTAAAAAAAAATCACCTCTGATGGGATTTCAAGCACAGGGAACATAAAGCTGCTGCAGGACTTCCAAAAAGGAGGTACAAGGGGATATTTCTCTAAAGTTGTCATCTATGTATAAAGTGCCTTTTCACGTTCAAATGCTTTCTCCCCTGCTCCCTACATAAAAGATGAGCCTGTTGCAAGAGATGGGATACTCAGTCTGGCCACAACCCCTTTGACCACACGAATGCCCTGCTGTGCAGCAGTGTCAGCCCCTCCTCGCACTGCGCCGAGGCCCTGGCTTGTTATCTGCCGATCTCTGCGCACACCGAGGCCAGGTCAAGCAAAGCTGCCTGAGTTTCAGCCGGAACAC